TTTAACCGAATACCGCGGGGATATACAGGAACACTACGATTGTTGGTCGAGCATGGACATGGCGGAGCTCGAGAATTTGTCGGAGCGTGAAGATTTGACCAATGCAACTTCGGCCTAGGCGAAAACCGGCTTGTTCTTCTCGGGAAAAACTCTTTGGTAGAGGAAAGCCTGTGAAGCAAGAAGGACACAAAAATCTTGGAAGCAATTGAGATCAGTGCAATGCCGCGGTAATTAGCGCAATCTTCGCGTGGGTCACCTTTGTGAAGCGAGACAACGATCGAGTCTCCCCATGAGTTGAGGACTTTCTCACTAATGCAAACCTTTGCGAAAAGTGTGAGCAATTCGTTGACAAGTATATCCCTGCCATTTTTGAAAAGAGCTGGAGGAAGGCTGTTAGGGCCGGCAGCTTTATGCTGTTTCAAAGAAGGGATTGCGCTTCTGATCTCTACTTCGGTAAGAGGGTCCCTGGGGACAGGTTAAGTAACATCCGATGGAGATGGTGTTACAGAGAGATGTGCTGGATAGTTAAACTGAAGAGCCAAGTGCTCTGCCCAGTGCTCTAATTGCCTCTGCATGTAGGTGATTTTTGTGCCGTTTAACTCATAGATTGTCTGACTGATGGGGTATGAATTGCAACCGGTGCCCTTGATGAGACGAAACAAACTGCGGCAGTTTCCAACCGATGCAGCGACTTCCATCTCAACAGCAAGCTTAGGCCACCAAGATTCACGGTCAGAGCGAAGACTTGCTCTCAGGTGTAGAAAAATAGACCAACGGAGTTCGCTGCGCTCCGTGCCAACGCGCACGGCTCGTCGTCGATCTACAAGTTCCGAGGAATTGCCGAGATCCAACTTATAGCTGTGCAGCGGCTGAGGCCACAGTTGGACAAACCTGCGGACAGCTTGGCATTTTGCAAGCCTAACCAGTGCCGCTCTGCATCCAGAGAAGAAGAGGGGACAATAGTTTTACGGAGCTTTTGTTGATACATTGTTTGTACTGCGGGATTTTGCAAGTTGCAAATGTTCAGTCGGGTTGGTTTGGCTCTTGGTGAGCGGCCGAAGCGCATGTGAACTGTCACACACACACCAATGCTTGATCGGATACTACACATGTAGAGCAGTATTATAGGGCAATCGCCTATGCTTCCACGCCACCTTCGAGTTATGGCTATGTGGTCAATTTGTGACCAACGCTGGGTTGATGGTGAGGACGTTAGGTGGCGAAATGGCGCATGGGGTGAAGAAAACTCGTACTAGAGAGGAAAAGTTGATGATCGTTACACAGACTGAGCAACCCTCTCCATTGTCAGAGCGAACATCATCATATCCATGTAGTCCCTCGAGGTGGCGTTCAAATGGAAGCAAGTGACCAACGCGTGAGTTGAAATCTCCTGCCATAATGATGGTGTCCGTTTTAGATGCCCTTAAGAGCAGATCATGAAGACTTTGATAGAATCGGTCTTTGACTGCACCCGAACTGCAGTCAGTGGGGGCATAGGCAGAGACCACAAAAAGAGTACGCTTATCGGCTCAATGTCTTCTAACCTTGTAGGAGCCACGCAGTCTAATAGCACAGAGACGACTGTTGATTGGAATCCAATCAAGGAGAGTGGCCTCGGCTCTAGTACCGAGCGCAATCGCAACACGAGCTTGCGCGGAAGCAGCAGACTCAGCGTCACCAGAAAGGCGGAGATGAAAACGGGTGTGGGGGTGGATTTGGGACGATAGGTGTTAGACAGTGTTGGAATCCTGAAGTCGTGTCGCAGTCAGGCAGCAGATATCGATTGCAAGGGTCTCCAAAATGCGCGCTAGTCCCGCTTGTTATCCGACCTGCAGTAGAGTGCGCATGTTTAGTGTTGTCAGCTTGAACCGAGTTCCAGGTTGCAGAAGCGGTGATGGAAGACCATGTGACTGGTGGTTCCCTGTGAAGCACTGTGTGGCTGAGTTGGCAGACGCTAGTGGGATGAATTCACCGGTGGAGACAGAGTTGTTCATCCTCGAGGAATCAGGTAATGAAGTAGGTGAATAATAAAGAAGGAAAATGTATATAGATATGTAGATGTATACCGTTCGAAAGGAAGACGAGCAGACAACTTTTTCATCATGGTAAGTACCAAAGACGAGTATTCAGTTCAATACAAAATACTGCAAATAATTGCGTTGTGGCGTCTGCAAAGTTTATTGGTAAATGTGTCCGGGTGTTGGTTGAAAGCCCGGCTTGCACCCAATGACTTGGTATTTCAACACTTGGAAAAAAACCAGACAATCGGAACGTACAACGCACGGCTGGTGATGAAGAGAATGCAGCAGTTTCCCACATTTAAGTCAGGGTAGTATTCGGTTACGTTTCCCATTACTGAATCCATGGTGAATGGGCAAAAAGGACGGTGGTACCGTGGCTGTGAAAACAGTTGATAGGCACCTTGTCAGTGCTACCTGCGCGCGGTGACAAACATGTTCACAAGAGAAATCGAGTAGGTAAGTGACACGTGGTTGCTGATATGTGATCATATGGAATATGGGCGAAAATGATGAGTCCGAGAGATGTCGGAGAGGAAATGGACGACCACGGAGGTTCCTTTCGGGTGGTGCTTAGTTGCGAAGAGCAGACACAACGTTTTGAATGGTCTATTCAGGAAACAATCGTATGTATGCTCGAAATCACCAGAAGATAATTAGCCTATGAGGTTGAGTTAGCCGGACATCAAACACACGTAGCCGTGATATCACAGAGAGAAACACATCAGGATGTGTTAATAGATCTCAGTGGACTGGTGATCAAGCAGTCAGTCATGTCACCGAGTTCTACTACCAGCTCAAGCTATCTCGGCTTGATGAGCCCAAACGAAGATGAAGACGAAGAAAAAGGCCACACGCCTTCACCACAGCCATTGCACACCGCACTTCCCGTGAAAGACCTAGGCGTACTCACATGCCGAAGTTTAAATGTCTGTATAAAAAATGAACAGGATTTCCGGAGAGGGACTGTGGCTGGTCTGAAGATATTGGCACTCTCCTCTTCTCTTCCACCATAAACTAATGTCCGAGTATGGCTCACCTGTCTGATCGACCGTAACCGGGTGCAAAAAATTGAAACCGCTTTAGCATGTAACTACTGGGCTCATCCCCAGCTTACGGGGTATGTCATGCGAAAACCGATGCAAGAGATTGAGGCTGGACACCTTGCGGTATCGTCGATGGTACGTGGACCTCATAATGGCGCACTGGTGTGAGTAAATTATGCTGAGGCCGCCGCTGCATGTGTGCGCACCAAGCATAACTCGAAGGCACCGGAGCTGAAGCGCATAGCTCACCCACTACGCTTGGGCAGGGAAATAATGCAGCAACAACCGTTGCCCTGGACAACAGTTGTGGTGAAAGTGATGTCAAAATTCAATACATCCCTAGACATCTACTACTTCACGGAGTACAGATTCTGTGCATGCGTCGATCCGAATAACACATGGAAAAGATGCAGGAGTCAGTGACGCAGCAATTCCGCGCACCTACCCGATGTGATTTGGATGGAGCAATACAGATTCCCTACATCGACTCGCTTTCCAATTTCAACAGTGTTTAACCTCTGAAAAGATCGTACGCGGTGGGAAAAATGCTGACGACAATAACAAAATAAAGCCGCTCTACTAAAAACTAATGGCTGAAACAAAGGCAAGGAAACTGGACCACGAGAATAAATGGATGGTAGTACTGCTGACGGCACTACCAACAAAGAAGTTTCTCTTCGTATCGCTAAAGTTTGATCAGCATTTGTCAAGCTGAGGCACTTGTGGTATCGTCGCGACGTCTCATTCTCACTAAACGGCCGCGTTTACAGTGCATCAGTTCGCTCAGTATTGTTGTATGGGTGTGGGTCCTGGCCGATTCGCGTGGAAGACATGCGTCGTCTTTCTGCCTTCAATAACGGTTGCTTAAGGAAGATTACTCGTGTTTGATGGTAACATCGAGTTAATAATAATGACGTTCGACGTCGCATTATGGGGAATGTGAGTATTTCCTTCAACAAACTAGTTTTGTTGCGCCAGTTAAGGTGGCTCGGTCATGTCCTAGGCATGGCACCTGAGTGTCTACCGCGTCGCGCTCTATTCGCTCGTCAAGGACCTGGCTGGAGGTGGCCGCGTGGTGGTCAGCCTTCCACTTGGCGGCAGCACATGAAATCGCTGACGTCGTGTCTAGCCGCTGTTGGATCCGTACGTCTTCCAGAATGCGGACCCAAAGATGAGGGGTGCCAATGGCTTAACATTCTTGAAGACATGGCACGCAACCGGAATCAGTGGAAGAATTGTGTACAGTATAGTACTGACTGACATGTTTAATACCTCAAACATTGAAAATGACAAAAGAGAGAAAAATCGGCGTGTGAAAAACAAACTAAAAATGCTTTGTTCTACTTTTCGTCAAAATGTTCCTTTCTTTTTACGGCATATTAGCTGAAGTGTGCTGCTCACTTTCAACTACTATGCCACGATGATTATGACGCGATGACTTCCTCTTATCCGCTGATCTCCATGGTTTTCTGTTGGCTCTGTGTCTAGTTGTTAGACTGCTGAGATCACATACACTGTGTGGGTTAGCATAGATCATACGAAAATATATCACCATATAAGAACCGATGATCAATCTACAATACACCATTGGAACCAGTATCATTAGCGCTACGACGATAGGGTTCAACTGTAGGCACTGCGGTCTGGCGCATGCGTAAAGCAGATCATGTAAAATCAATATCGGGGAATGGGTTGTTTCGGGCAAAATCGATTTGCTGTATGCTATTCGCAGATGAAGTCATCAGAACAATAGAACCTAAAATAAAAATTTCCAGTTATGGACTGAGATGGAAGCAAATACTCAGACAGACGCAAATAATCCAATGGAGAAAAAGTGCCGTGTTATTCAGAACTGCTGAGGTGACCAACGGGATAGGTGAAGACACGCAGTGGACTGGTATACCTCAGAAGTTAAACACATCGTTAATTTGGTTACCTGAGGGGTGGAGTTGGGGGAGACTGGGCAGATCCGTTGGGCGAATGGGTAATCTGATTGGGCTCGCTGTGCGTGGATGTTGTAGAACACGGTGATGTGGAGGTCGATGGTGGGCAAGCGTCATGCTTAACAACCTGAGCACCGATTCCATTTGGCACACGAGTTACTGAATCCTGAGAGCTGGTGCTGGAGCGAGCAGATGCTTGTTTCGCAGCGGCCAAAATTGCAGCAGCTTCGGCAAACGCTGAAGCTTTAGCGTTGGCAACCGCCTGAGCGTCCAAACGTTCTTTAAGTGCTACCACAGGACTTCCTCCGGCAAACGTGCGTAGATCAACGAAAATCTGTGGTTTATGGGGGGACTTCTGAGTACCGATGCGTTCCAGAACATCGGGAGATTCGGTTTCCTTCACAACGTGATTAGTAGGGATGAAAGCACTGTGCCGTGTGGAGGCAAACAGACCAGTCCAACCCACCAAACCTTGACGTCGCTTAGGTTGCCTTGTGCTACCACCAAGGATTTGAGCGTCAGAAATGCCAGACAACCGCTTCTCCATTCCGTCGCGGCGGAGAAAGTGGCGACGGCGAAAAGTGCTCTCGATTGCTTGCGGAGTCGAAATGCGCCGTAGTCTGTAAATTTAAATATAATCACGCGTGTACACAAGTGATTAAGCGAGGGACAAGCTGTGTCGAGCTTACATCAAAGTGAAAAGGGTAACGAAAAAAACATAGAGGGAGCTCAGTGCTGGATGAACTCACACTATATCGAGCCTAATGAAAAAGACGAAGTCTCAATTAAATCCGTGGAGACTGAAGATACCCAAGATTCAGTACAGAGGATTTCGTAGTAGTCCGAATAAAAATGCTTCACTTGTGGACTGGATGGGCTAGACGTAATTGGTCAAAACAGCCGCGGTGCACTAAGCACTGAATCCGACCTTTCTTCTGAAGTCAGTTAGCGAACCGATTAACTGACATACGTTAAACTGGTATTATACGTTGCAATGGGCAAGACAAGTGCCATCTATGGCCAAACGGTGATTGCGTAAACACTAGTGCATCGAAAGCATTGAAACCTAGTCCCACATCGTCAGACGGTGGCTGAAAGGATTACATGCTTGCCTTGTAATCCGGAGGTGAGCGGTTCGATTCCGCGGACCACTGTATGGCCTACACAGCCCACGCATGACTGCTGTTGATTGCGTAGCAGCCAAGCAGGGGTACCGCTGACTTAAGCATTCATTGTATTCTGGTTTGAGTTCTTCACGTTGAAAGATTTTCTGGTCACTCAATAGTGCATGAGAAATTTCCAAACTGAATCACCCTCAGTCACCTATAGTGAACTTCAATGTTACTGTATTAACTCAGTTCTATTCTCTGTTAGAATAGTCAATCTGACCCACAAATCATGTAAGGCTCCTGTTTTTCGGTTTTTATTGGTTTATGGTAGTAAGTTAATTTCTTGTATTACCGGTAATTCTAACACTAACAATATTACCTACACCACTACCAGGAACAGCCTCATATATAGCTGTGATAATAAGGCGGAGTATTTTCCTTTATTCTGTTTTCCTATATATTTCGAAAAGAATGGAGATAAGTGGGATCCTTGAGGAACCCCAGAGGTAGTGGTGAGCAGCAGGGAGCTTTTACCCCCAAATCGAGTACACTGGGCACATAAAGTGGAATAGTCAGTAAGTGGACGGATGAAAGTAGGCCTCCAAAAAGAAGCTCACGGTTTACATCACCGAAAGCATTACTGTAGTCGAGAAAACATATTCGCACGTATATGATCTTGCTCGCTAGTGACGACAGCACTGAAGGTATATGATGGGCTAATGCGTATCGAGGAGACCTTAAACTGCCGTTCATAAGGAGTACGTGGCAAAGGTGAGCTGCTATAACACCTATATATATATATATATATATATATATATATATATATATATATATATATATATATATATATATATATAAGTTGTAGAAGCCATTTCACGTTCCATTTTCACATATGTGTACAAACACAAGATAATACATTATTTTGATCGATTTCGGCATCGTTTTTTTAACGGTTTCACTGCACTGTTTTCGATAAATCGAAAATAAAGAAGAATTACTAATGTATTATCTGCACTGTTAAGTTAAATGTGCTTTGCTCGAAATGTTGCGCCAGAGTTCATTGGTTCGAAAAATACAATGGAGAGAAACGAGAAAATCAAGAACATGTAAAAATGTTGATCAGAAAACTGATAACTAGAAAAAAGGTGCGCATAGACGTCTAGCATGAATTCCGCACTACAATACTGTGAGACTTAGCGAAAGAAACCGAGCAAACCTCCATTATGGACAACCATACTAAACCTATTTTGCTATTCATTGCAGAACGTTTTGAATGTCGTTGACTATTTCAGTGGCAAAAAAAGAAAGGCAACAGCAGTACGCCGGTACGTAGTACTGACACTTCGCTGCCGCGTAATCGCCACTAGTCACACCAGGGCTAAGGATACTGCGAGCCGCCCGGTAACTAGGTAGGCTCGAACTTGCGCCCTCAGATAACAACGCAGGCTTACGATCCTTAACGCTACAGACTGGCATTCTAGTGGGTGTAAACAAAGTTTTTGTAAGTTTTGAATCGGTCGTAGCTACTACTACTACTACTACTACTACTACTACTACTACTACTACTACTACTACTACTACTACTACTACTACTACTACTACTACTACTACTACTACTACTACTACTACTACTACTACTACTACTACTACTACTACTACTACTACTACTACTACTACTACTACTACTACTACTACTACTACTACTACTACTACTACTACTACTACTACTACTACTACTACTACTACTACTACTACTACTACTACTACTACTACTACTACTACTACTACTACTACTACTACTACTACTACTACTACTACTACTACTACTACTACTACTACTACTACTACTACTACTACTACTACTACTACTACTACTACTACTACTACTACTACTACTACTACTACTACTACTACTACTACTACTACTACTACTACTACTACTACTACTACTACTACTACTACTACTACTACTACTACTACTACTACTACTACTACTACTACTACTACTACTACTACTACTACTACTACTACTACTACTACTACTACTACTACTACTACTACTACTACTACTACTACTACTACTACTACTACTACTACTACTACTACTACTACTACTACTACTACTACTACTACTACTACTACTACTACTACTACTACTACTACTACTACTACTACTACTACTACTACTACTACTACTACTACTACTACTACTACTACTACTACTACTACTACTACTACTACTACTACTACTACTACTACTACTACTACTACTACTACTACTACTACTACTACTACTACTACTACTACTACTACTACTACTACTACTACTACTACTACTACTACTACTACTACTACTACTACTACTACTACTACTACTACTACTACTACTACTACTACTACTACTACTACTACTACTACTACTACTACTACTACTACTACTACTACTACTACTACTACTACTACTACTACTACTACTACTACTACTACTACTCTACTACTACTACTACTACTACTACTACTACTACTACTACTACTACTACTACTACTACTACTACTACTACTACTACTACTACTACTACTACTACTACTACTACTACTACTACTACTACTACTACTACTACTACTACTACTACTACTACTACTACTACTACTACTACTACTACTACTACTACTACTACTACTACTACTACTACTACTACTACTACTACTACTACTACTACTACTACTACTACTCTACTACTACTACTACTACTACTACTACTACTACTACTACTACTACTACTACTACTACTACTACTACTACTACTACTACTACTACTACTACTACTACTACTACTACTACTACTACTACTACTACTACTACTACTACTACTACTACTACTACTACTACTACTACTACTACTACTACTACTACTACTACTACTACTACTACTACTACTACTACTACTACTACTACTACTACTACTACTACTACTACTACTACTACTACTACTACTACTACTACTACTACTACTACTACTACTACTACTACTACTACTACTACTACTACTACTACTACTACTACTACTACTACTACTACTACTACTACTACTACTACTACTACTACTACTACTACTACTACTACTACTACTACTACTACTACTACTACTACTACTACTACTACTACTACTACTACTACTACTACTACTACTACTACTACTACTACTACTACTACTACTACTACTACTACAGCAAAATGTACTCTGCGTGGCGTCAGCATGACATCATTCTATCCCCCAGTGTATAATGCGACCGCCCGTTCAATCCTCATGTATGTGTGCAAAACCAAGCTCATCAAGTCGACCACGGTTGATTTCGCAGCTTAGCTCATGCCGGGTGGGAACACCGCATGATCAATGAGCGTGTTCGGCGTTGTCGCGTAATTGGTGCAAGAACAGCGAGTGAACCGCTCAGGACCGTTATTTCACACGCCAGGCGCCAATGGCTGGGCCACGTGTTGCGCATGCCAGTACACCGACTCCCGCGATGGGCGGTATTTTCGCGACAGGGATGTGGATGGAAGAAGATGAGGGAAGGCCAATGATTCAGTCGAAAGGAATGGAGTCCATCACTTCGAACTTGGCGTCGGTCGGTTGGTGTTTCCGTGCAACCGAGTTGGGGTCCGAAAAAACGAGGAACACGTCTGGTTGGATACACTAGTCGACATAACGAAGAGTTGACCTCATTAGCGTTCGTCTTGTGAGTTTCTCTGTTCATATCCTCCCTTTTCAGCTTCATCCAACCACGATCTCAAACTTGAAGCGTAAAATGTGATATTTAGCATTACATCACTTGTTAATCTTTGGTTTTTGTAGTCTGTAATGTTTGAAATCTTTTTTGTATTGCGGCACATTAGCAGAAGTGCGCTTCTCATCTCAACTAACGTGTATTGATGTTGAGGAAAAGGCACTCTTCTACATCTTACGTTTTCGAGAAATATAGACCACAGCTGTAAGCAATAAGTTTCGGCTGTTTCACCGTAGCATAGTATGGCATATGATATCACCATCATTCTCTATTGTTAGACAGTCATCCACAAACCCACGGAGTGATACAAGTGTCGGGGGGGGGGGGGTGAATGTAGAAATCACAGTACACAAGGTGTATCGAGAAGATAGAACAAAGTGACCCAAGGGGGTAAACGTTGCGGGGGTGGGTGACGAAGACGATCATGTTACGGTTCTCTGGTGCGAAGTTAAGAACAAGATCAAGCGCAGAACTAGTGCGATACCATCAAAACGCAATACTATGGCGATCCAAAGCGACGCTGGTCTTTAAGGTAGAATAAGTGCACCAATGGCGATGGGAAAGGACCACCAAAGAATCACACTCGCAATATAGGTCGCACACTAGACATTAAATCGCGACTTCAGCGATCGATGCGGTGCAAACTGCAACT